CGATTGTAAAGGTCCTTGTAACATAATTGGTTTGCTTACAAAAAAATGAGTTGTCACCTAGGATAAATTAATCTCTAACTTTTAAAATATACCGAAATGCTCCTTTATAGATTTTTGTAGCCATTTCCTTTGCACTTTCAGACTTTTGGATTGCTTGCTCTTCTTCTGCTTGCAATATACACTAAAGTTTCATTTCTCTCTAGAAAACCTAATGTTCCTATATTGAGCAGCTAGTTGTTTATCGTCTTGCATTGAGTAGCAATATATATGGTTTGATTTAAGTTGGACCCTGCAAATCCTGAGACAGAGAGAGTAATGTTCATATATTGAGATCTATATGTTGCCATCTTTGCGTTCAGTAGCATTTGGCTTGATTTAAGTTGGACCCTGCGAATGCTCGGTAATATCACTCTTCCCTATGGCTAGTTATTTCCTATATATGTCAATTCCAACACAAGTAGACATGTGTACATGATATGATTGAACTAACTCACATTTATGTAATAATTATATATGTGTTGTGGACACGTTATAGGTATGATTTGTTGCCTGCATAAATCTAAGCATGCATAGTAGCTTATACATGGTACCTTAATCTAGACAATTGTATGCAATTAGATGGTGTTTGTTCGCCTATGGCATAGCCCCCTGTGCATTGTTAAGTCTGTAATTGATTGACTGTGTAAGTGTTTTGTCTGTGTCACGTGTTACATATATGACACCAGCATAGCTAGATATGGGGAAATCAATTGTTTTGTCAGATATAAATTGGGTCTGCATATGGGTTTATGTAGAAGAAAACAAGCGAGAAGTGTAGTATGGTGGCCTGGATAAGAGATAATGCAGGCAGGAAGTGTAGCATATGGTGTAGCACTTTCACTGTCATTTTTTTTAGTTGGGAGTGATATTGATACCCCAGGGTATCTGAGTAGAAATTGATTCTGAAGGGATGTTGCGAACCGATTGTAAAGACCATTTCTTTAGCAAAGATGCTTATTTCTAGAATAAAGCAGCTTTTCTAACAAAAAAAATGTTTGTATGTGCTCTACCTTATTTTTATAGACTCTAGCCAAGAGGTAACGGCTAGAGTGCATTTTGAACCAACCTAACACATCATTAAGCTATTGAGCAATGATTATATCATTTCACCAGATGCCATAACGACGGTTGAAGCTTGTGATCTATGCATAAACAATGAATCCACCGTCCAAAGTAATATCAAATTGGCAACTCCCGTCTTATGCACCACCTACCTTGGATGCTACTCCACAACAAGGTGAGGCTAAACCCAACACATAAAAGATCGTTAAAAGATTACCAAGAATTTGTTTATTCTGATAAAAAATCATGGCATGAAAAGTAATCTATTTAAGTCGCAATAATAGTTGAGCTACCAATTTGGCATTCTATATTCTAACAAAGTTTGTCTCCAAAAGTAAACTATTGATGAACAATAGGACTATATATATAGCCAAATTTTGGAATCAAACCAAGAAGTGATAAGAAGTTTGGTTGAGCTAGCTTGGACACTCTTAGCATAACAAATAGTGTTTGGTTTATCTGCCCATGGCAAAAAGGCCAAGGGCAATTCATTGTTAAGCATGTTTGTTTCAGTATAAGATTGTTGATTTTATTATAATTCCTAGCTGAAACAAACAGGCAAGTTTTGACCCTAAATTCATAAATCAGTTTTTCCTAGATTCCATAATCTAATAGTTTAATCAAATCAAAGTTTTACTTGACTGTGACACAATATTTAACTCTTATACCCACATGTAAAGTGAGATAAATAGCTATAAGTTTTTGGACCCTCAGCTTTCCACAATCCATCTTATGGTCGATCTACAAGCTGCTCGCAAATCCAATTTTAAAACAAACATGCTGTAGGGAAACACAGGAGGCATACTGTTTGCAGGGACCCATTGTAAAGCCCCAGTCCGGGAAGACGGTTAAGATCCACTCTACACGTTGAATAGACCACACCTGCTAATTAACTCTCTTGCGCTTTCGTCCTCGTTTCGCGCAAAAGGTTCGAACCGGAGTTAATTCCCTCCCGGACACGTTTCCCCTCGGGCTCCGAGACAGGACTAAAGCCGTAGCTACAGTGTCCGCTGCTACAGTACCAACAACCCGAGCTGCAGCAGTTCGGCCCAGCCCATCAGACCAGCCCAACTTGGCCCATTTAGCGGGGTCTCACACCCATCACTATCACTAAATAAGGTCAAGGCAAAGCCAAATCTTGGGACCCACCTGTCCCCTCCTGACTCCTGCCTTCTTAACACCACATGTGATTTGGACTCTCTTTGGGTGGCTGATAGGAGCATCTGCCCTAAAGAATGCGAGGGGGAGTCCTCACTTTATTTAACATGCATGGTGAAATAGGTACACATCGCTAGATTTTCTTTGTGTTGGATTCATATTAAATTAAGCAGTTAATTTTGGCATGCTTAAACTATAACCATTATTATATACTGATTTTCGTAAACAAATACCTGAAAGTTGGGTACTCTATTTTGAAGTAACCCTGCAACTAACTTCTGCCTTCCGGCCGGTGACAAGGACAAGACAGTTAATTGGTGGTCCGTGTTGTGGTTGATGTAAAATAAATCGAAGCATATTTCTGTTGTTGATTGTCGACAATTAAATAACAGACATCTTATCTTACTATTATAGATTTTTTGAAGCTCCCATGATAATATAATCTTCATAAGATGCATAATGAAAAAGATAAATCCTAGAGATTCTCACAAAAGTTAATGTAAACCCTATTCAATGGACTATAAGCATCATATCTATATCAAAATATCTATTCAATATACTCTATTTTTTTATAAAAAAATCCACACCTGCCATCACGAAAAATATAATGTAACCCCCCTATATTTGTATCTAAATTACTCACCTCTATCGTTATGAAAAAACCTAAATTTTCCCCTAATATGTATCAAATTACCCACTAGCTAGTGTGTATGTACCTTTAGAAAAAAGAACTTTAATTTATAGGCTTTATGCTTTTATATGCAGAGGTTGGAAGTTGATCTAAAAGTGGTTGTATACTTGTATCTTAACTTGATGTAATTATCCTGAGTTCGATAAAATGCTTCCTTGATAGAAAAAACAAGTGGCGCTGTTAATACTAGTATGCTAGTTGTAAATATAGTTGGTTTACCCTCAAATTAGGATAAGACAATTTGGTGTGACGATAGTGGGAACTGAGGTGCTTCTCTTTCCACCGTTGAACGAGAATTGAAATCACGGATGTCTGTTCTTATTTGTTTACGTATTGGCCGCGTGATTTGATGGCCACGAGACGAGCTCTTTATGTGATGTTGATCGATGCAACTCACCATTTGATTGGAGAGGAACCTAATCTGTCATGCCATTGATCATGGACGTCAGCTGCAAAAAAAAAACTAATTAAGTGCAGCGTGCAAATTTGTGCGAAATAAAATATTTAAGACGGAAGATGTTGTTGGTTATCTGTTGCAGCTTGCAAACAGTCAACTTTTGTCATGCTAGGAAGAACGCTAGTTATACCCAGTAACGGCTGAGGAGAGAATCTCACCATGCTAACACAGAAGAATCAAGGCAATAACCATATGCTTGTAAACAAATTTTGCATCTAATATATAATAAGGTGCAAGCTTATATATATGAGGGGTTGTTAAATAGAAGTATAGCTACACAGATGAGGGTTAGATACGAAGCACCTGCAGGTAAAGATTCTTTTTTCTTTCTTGGGCCATTACGCCATCCTGACAATGTTGCTATCACTAGAAACACTGCACTATCCTATAAAACCAACCAATAGTAATCAGTGGGCATCTTAGTCATCATGCTACCTACTCTCTCCTGGTTTTTCTCCTAAATTAAGGCCTATCACCTCACAAGCACTCCTAGCCAAGAAGAGCACAATAATAAGGGCATGTTTGGTTTCTATAAGTCAGGTGACTTATTAAGTCAGGTGACTGAAAACCAGTGACTTATAAGTCATGCCTGTTTGGTTGTAGATGACTTATAAGCTCATTAAAGGTGTGGGCCCCACGCGAAAAAGGGTGACTTATAAGTTTTAAGCAGGGGTGAACCAACTTAAAACTTATAAGCAGGGGTGACTTATAAGTTGGTGGTGTTTGGCCAAATAAGTCACTTTTTCACTTTTTAACTTATAAGTAGGTGACTTATTTGGAACCAAACAGGCCCTAAGCACTCATTCCATCAAAGCTAAATCGATGCTATATGAGATGACATTCTGGTGAATATATATATCTGAAGACACGCCAGCAGTGGGTTCTCCACCAGTTTTGTACCCCTGCAAAAGTAGCAAGGAATCAAACATCAGGAAAGCTTCACATGGAATGTTCATAGTACATAATTATTCACCTCCCATGTCCTCCAGTGATCTATCATGAGATAAGAACATGGGAATGTCAAATGTTCCCCAAGTAGTATTACTTTTCTTAGTAAATAATATGTACAGAGTTTAATTACTGGGCGTCAATCATCAGACTAGCTAGTAGAGAAAATTAATTAATAAGCTGGCCGGTTAGCACCTAAGCAACACTAGCAAAGCGCTTGCTTCTCCCGGTTCTCCTAACCAACATGGAACTTTTTTTCCCTTTTACAATGACAACAACCTTGCAGTAAAAAAAATTTGTACCACTCTCCAGTAGAGTAAGATAGCTATGGCTCTATAATGGATCGGAGTTACTCTTCCTCGTCTAGCCCCCCGCCCCTCCTATAAGTACAACCCCACAACAAAGACATGAGTGTGCAAGTGTGGTTGTCTTCTAAACTGGGTGCCTCTAGCTCTTCCTCAAGTTAGCCACTTCACTTCTCTCTCAATCGAAGTCGAAGCACAAACCTACTGCCCTCCCACCTCCCACGTAGTGTGTGTGCTACTCGATCGTGTGTCGCGCGCACACACAACCTTCCAAGAACCAAAGATTCCTTGAACCAACGTTCTTCTTCACCTAACCAGTAATCAGCAGTTCGATCGATCGATGGAGGGGAGCAGCAACAGTCCGGACAGGCAGTCGTCGGGCGGCAGCCCTGAGGAGCGCGGAAACGGTGGTAGCGGAGGCCGGGGCACCGGGGAGCCGGTGCGGTCGCGGTGGACGCCGAAGCCGGAGCAGATACTGATCCTCGAGTCCATCTTCAACAGCGGCATGGTCAACCCGCCCAAGGATGAAACCGTCCGCATCCGCAAGCTGCTCGAGCGCTTCGGCGCCGTCGGGGACGCCAACGTCTTCTACTGGTTCCAGAACCGCCGCTCCCGCTCGCGCCGCCGCCAGCGCCAGATACAGGCCGCCGCCGCGGCGGCGGCGGCGGCAGCGGCCTCCTCCGCAGCTAGCGCCACCGTCGGCAGCCTTCCTTCTGGTGCTCTACAATATCCCTTGGCCATGGGCGGGACCGCCTGCCAGTATGAGCAGCAGGCGAGCTCCTCCTCGTCGTCGGGAAGCACTGGGGGCTCTCTTGGGCTGTTCGCACTCGGGGCCGGGGTGCCCGGCACCGGCGGTGGGTACTTCCAGGCGTCGTGTGGCGCTTCGTCGCCGCTGGCGACAGGGCTGATGGGGGACGTGGACAGCAGCAGTGGCGGCAGCGACGATCTCTTCGCCATCTCCCGGCAGATGGGGTTCGCGGCGAGCGGCCCCGTCGCCTCGGCCTCGGTGGCGCCGAGCACCACTACGGCACACCAGCAACAGTATTACTCATGCCAATCGCCTGCAGGTGAGTATACTACCGAACACTGATCTAGCTTAATTTTGTGGGTTTTGTCTTCGAATTCTGGATCGGTTGCTTCGTCTATTTCATGCATGTATTTCTCAACTCAATTTTGATGAAAAACGTTGGTTTTCACCGCTACAATTTTGTGCGTTTATTTTCATTGATGAAGTATCAGGGAATTGATGCAGAATTCGAGGAGATCTAGCTTGGTTCTTTTGGACTCGCATGCTTTATTTTGGTCTTCCTTGGTATTAATTAATTGCATCGGTTCTTGTTCTTTAGTTCTTCAGTATTGTTCGGTTACCTCCCATTCCCATGTACCGGTGCATAAGATCATACCACATGATACATATGTTGTCCTCTCTCGCTCCCGCCACCATGTATATCCATACGTATACGTGACTGTTTGTAGAAATTTAATTAAACATCGTGTGATTGGGAGGCAAAGTTGAACAGTTAGGACTAAAACTAAACCTGAATATTAACACTCATGTACTGAACATAATATGTATGCATGCATCGACCACTACTTGTTTTTGCCTTTTGGTCTACTTAACCCTCGCTCCATGCGACCATGCATGGATGTGAAACTTTTGAGTACCATTAATTCAACCATGTATTTGATACCTAGTATGTTAAACCAGAAGTTCAATTATTTACATATGCCTTTGAAATAGTAATTGGGTTGGCACTTCACCATTTCCTGCGTGTATACTTCTGCCTTACATTTAGCATCCTCAATTAACAAAAAAAAAATATAGGTATTGCCTCTAGCTAGCTAGCAGGTTAAAGCAAAGGAACTCTGTGCCGTACAACAAAGCTAATGGTGCTGTAATCCAAGCATGCATGCAACTACTACTGATCATATAAATATTTTCATGCATGCTAACCTTGAATTAGCTAGTTTGCCCCTCTGTCGAGAAAAAACCTAAACCCAAAACGTGAGAATGAAGACCGACCTGAGGAGTATATTATATATACTAGCATATAGCAACGACTAAATGGCATTCATAATCATCTCAAATTCAATCAGAACTCCGCATCCATTTGTTAATTCTGTCGTCAGTTGGCATCTAGATATAATTCTAAGATGCCGCTATTTGATTTCTTTTGGAGTGGATTCTGAACTAACTGGCTACCTGTGTGGATTGATTGGCTGTGATTGCCTTCTAATTCCAGCGACGATCACGGTGTTCATCAACGGAGTCCCAATGGAGGTTCCCAGGGGTCCAATAGACTTGCGAGCCATGTTCGGCCAGGACGTGATGCTCGTCCATTCCACCGGGGCCCTCCTCCCAGTCAACGACTATGGAATTCTAACGCAGAGCTTGCAGATGGGTGAAAGCTATTTCTTGGTAATCTCCCATGTCGCCTCTCTCATCTACTCCCTTCATTCTAAATTGTAAGTGTACGTATTTCTAAATACATAACTTTTGATACGTACCTAGATATATAAATTATGTCTAGTAGACACATACTACATTATCTAGAAAAGTCAAAACAACTTACAATTTGAAACGAATGGAATATATATCTAATCTAGTCACCGGTAGTTAATCCACTCAAGCACTACACATTGGCGTACGTTACGTTGTATATATATACGCATACAACATTCATGTGCATGCATATATGAGTATATATATGCATCTATGAGATCAGTTGAAATAATGCATTTACCATTACTGGTAATCATTGTTTATTTTCTTTCTCCTTGCAATATACTTCATTCATTCCAAATTATATATAAGTCGTTCTGTCTTTTTATAGATACATAGCTTTTGCTCTATACTCTCTCATTCCAAATTATAATACATTTTAGCTTTTCTAGATACATAGCTTTTAATATATATTTAGAGATATATTGTATATCTATGTGCATAGCAAAACCATATATCCACAAAAGTCAGAACGGCTTACAATTTGAAATGAAGGAAGTATAGCATCGTTCATGTACATATACATATATATATATATATATATATATATATATATATATATATATATATATATATATATATATATATATATATATATATATATATATATACCTTACAAGTTACAACAATTGTTTTGCTGTTATCCACACAGGTAGCAAGGCCAACTTAAAACTGCCCGCACGTAGCTAGATTGTAGCGCAGTCTGCCGGCCGGTCTCTACTCGATATTCATCGGTTCAGAGATGGGATGCAGTTCATGATCAATCACGATGGGACATCTGCAAGCAAATGATATATCTGTCCATCGTCCATATATAGTCCTTCGAGAAGAAAAGTTAGCTAGCACCAAGAAAATATATGTATATTGCACCTCAAGAAAGTACCTACATATGTCCTTAAAACATAAGAAAGCGTACGTGGGCGGTTCAGTTTTCCGATTGGATTATGAATTTGGTGTTCTCTCTCACGCACCATTTTCTTTACAAGATATGCATGTGAATGCATGCATGAATCTCCTTGACAGTCGAGCTACACATATTCATTTAGCTAGACAGTTGCACCTTTGTAATAATGATTAAATTTATAACTGTTAAAGTTGTATGTCTATATATATGTCGGCTGGTTGACCGTGCTTGGAATGTCTGTCCTTATGTAAGGCCAAATAATGGAGGTCTAAAATACACTGGTAGAGAACCGAGCTTTACTCCCGGTGGGGAACCCCCTCTAGTCCCGGTTCCTCACCCGGAAGCAAGCATCTGGGACTGAAGGGGGGTCCTTTAGTCCCGGGTCAGGAACCGGGACTAAAGAAGGACCTTTAGTCCCGGTGGGTAACACCAACCGGGACTAAAGGTGCCTCCTGACATGCCACGATGGACGGCACCTTTAGTCCCGATTGGTAATACGAACCGGGACTAAAGGTTTTTTTTTCTTTTCTTTTCATTTTTTTGTTTTCGAAGTCGTATTGTACGCTGCTAATTATACATTTATACGCGCGTATAGTATGTTTCGGTTCAAGCACAATTAACGTATTAAATCACACAATTCAAGCATAGAAAAAAATATATATATATATATGCATGCATGCATCATATATATATTTACATGCATGCATGCATATGTGTATTTTACATTATATTATTTTATGTGCATATATTACAAAAAGATTACATTACAGTTGTTGTGATATAACAAGTTTTCTCTCATCCTCTAGCTTGGCTTCCATGGCAGTGTTGGGTCGAAGTAGAACTCGCCCTTGGAATCGATGACTTGCTCATTAAAAAATCCGGCTATAGACTCTTGAATTGCTTTGATTTGGTCTTGCCGTATGACCTTTTCCTCCAACCATCGAGTCTACATGTTTGAATTAAAGGAAAATAAATTAATATATGTACATATATTTATATAAAGACATAGTAACACAATCAATAATAATAATTAAATGAATATATAGTGTATTTTTAACGTACTTTGAGTCTCTCTGTAGGAGTTCTTTGGGAGATCACCTTGATAAACTTGCAAACATAGTAACCACAGTAGTTGTTCTCCTGTTCCTGCCTCAGACACCACTTTACGAGAAAAAGATTTGTCATCCAATCTGGTGATCCGGTGAAAGCTATATGTTTAATTAATAAAGATGATGCGATTCAGGGGACTTACTTTCAAAGGGATTACATTCAGTGGCGCTTTGCATTTTTCCATGTGTTGCTTCTCAATAAAGGTTTTCCAAACACTGCCCAATAAAAAATTTGCCACATCATCAGATATAGTTAATCATCATGTTTGTGTGTATATATAGTTGCTAGAGATCCCGAAATTACCTCTGGATAATATCTATCATATCTTGATAGTCTTGTTGTGGTTTTCTCATCGAGTCATAGATTATCAAGTGACTTTTCACCAGATTGATGTCCATCAATATCCAGTGATTGCTGCATGTGTTTATAGGATATAACGCATAACACTCATTAATTAACTAGAATCAACATATGAGTCATTAAGGATGATCGATATTATTAACACTCACTTGAAGTTATAGGAAAAGAGTATATCCTTCTTGTGGCGTTGGTTCACTAAGAAGTTCATGAGGTTACTCTCTGACTTAGACTTCCAATTAGTCTTTGGAGTAATTGGGTCTTTGAATATTATATGGGGATCAACAAAACCAATTTCATTGCAGCCTTCCTTTCTGAGCTCTGTCATTCTAAATCTACATATATATAGTACTTGTTAGGATAATTTATATGCATATACACACATATGATGAGTTTAATAATAGATCGAAAGAATTATTACTTACAGTGCAATAGCAAATAATGATAACTTTGTCCGGAGAGGTCGGTGGCATAGTTGATGAAATTCTCAAAAAGTCAACATACATAACATCATCGCCATACGGAACCAATGTTCGCCTCTAATTACGACACCAACGCAGAAGTCTCCACTCTAGAGCGACTACATGTACCACTTGTTTAGCGGTACATTTGCGTCCCCAGATCGATAAGGCTTGAGGGTTGTATAGACTCTGGCCTAGTACAAATTTTTTCTTCAAATATCAACCTCCGCCGCACTCTCAATGTTTCCATCACCAAACATCTGGTAAAGGTCGAGACCAGTCTCATCAATAAATTCACCAAGGTGATCCAAATCGACATCCGGAGGTATGTTTGCCTAATGCATTAATCCTAAATTCGAACCATATTCATTACCAACAACTAGCGGGGGGACTGATTGGTGCGCTTGTTGTCCGAGTTGGGCAACTCCTTTCCCCGCCTCGCTTTTTTTTTCTGTGCCACTCAATTGACTTGGTGAGAGTGCGGTCATAGTCCGATAACGTTGATTTGGACGGCTTACGAGATTCCCATTGTTGTTGTTGCCGTTAAGAAGCCACCTTTTTCTTAGAATATCCGGAGCTACTAATAAGTACAGCCTCTCCTGGTTTCTCCTTGCTTCTTGATTCTTTTAAGTTTGTCATAGAATCTAGATATATCTTTTTTATATGCATCAGTTCCTTCTTCCTTCTCTTCAAATATTATTTTGGGAATAGCCCTTGGTTTCACGGTGGCTTTCTTTGCAAAGGGGGGACCGGTTCTTCGCTTGAGGGGCTGGCCTCTTGCTAGGCTTCTTGGTAGGCGGGGCGGGGAGGCGTTGGAGACCTCCTTGGAGGTGTTGGCGGCATGCGCTTGGAGACCTCCTTGAGGTGGTGGTCTGCGGCGTTGGAGACCTCCTTGGAGATGGTGTGGATGCAGCCTCACCTTCCAACACAATGTCATCGTCTGAGAGCACTATGATGATCTCACGATTGAACGATTGAATTTAGGTTGGGGAGGATCTGCTACAAAAAAGGAATGACATATTATTATGAGCGAGTTGTTAATTATTTAAGCTAATACAAATTAATGATGTAGTGTTTTCATCCGCACGCACCTATGGTGAGGTAGTTCAGAGGAGGTGGAGCCGACATCCCGGAATGATAATGTAGCGCTTGCGCCATAGAATGAATGTCTTCTCCGCTTCTCCTAGAGTCTTCTCGCCATCACCTCCGTGAATGTCAAGAGGCAAATCACTAAAACCTTTTTTCACTTTTATCTACCGAGATGGTAGCATATCCTTTTTGGATTATATTCCCATGAATCCTTGGTGTCTTGGTTCGGTCGATAGGATTAACAAGACCGATAGCCACCTTGATTGTGGAATTCCCCTTCGGAATGTGTAGCTCACACGTTGTACAAGGTTCAATGACGTCATCCATAGGGAAGCGCGGTCCTGTGTCCCCTTGATTTGGTATCTCCGTGGAAGTGCAACTGCTTTTCAACTGAACAGATTGGCTAATGTTGATTCCTGGCTCTGATGCCTGCTTGCTTGCACTCACTGCTATTTGCACTTGCCTTCTGATTTCCTCCTGCATTCTCGCTTCAAGGTTTTTTTCCCGCTCCTGTGCTTCACGCACCGCTTCCTCCAACCTCTGGAGCCGTTGTGCCTCTTCTTCCTTCTTTCTCTGGCGGCTTCTGTAGGAAGGTCTGTCCTGAGGGAATCCATGCTCCCACGAGACACTTCCTTTGCCTCTAGTTCGGCCACCATGTTCAATAGTCCCGATGGCGTATGTCACCATCCTTCTCTCTGTTGGGCTGAACGCACCACTAGCGATAGCTCTATGAGCATAAAACAATCTTTCTGCCGCTTCTTGCGCCTTGCGCCATAAATGCACTTCCCTGCCTCCCGGTCCAAAGGTTCCCCATGAGCGAAAAAACCAATTCTTTGCACACTCTCCCCACTCGAGTGATTCGGGTGTGATACCCTTGGCAAGAAGGTCTCGCTTCCATTTTGTTCCACTTCTTAATGGCGTTCGGGTAGCCACCGATCCCAAGTTATGGTGGTATGTCTTCATTGGGCATTACGTTGGTTCTTTATCACCCGACTTCTTACACTCTTCCGATGTCTTGTACTTGTACAAACTCATCCCAATAGGGCCTCTGCTTTGAGATCGGGCTGGGACAAGAAAATCTGGGTGCTATGTTCTTCTTGACATACGTCGTGTATAGGTGTTTCTTCCAAGTCCGAAACTGGGTGGCCATCTTCTTCATTGCCCAATCCCTAACTCGCTCCTTCAATTCATCACCATCTATAATATCATCATAACCATCTGCTTGGAGCGTGAAATGTACCAAGACATCTTTCCAAATTAACGCCTTGTCACGATCGGAGACAAAACTGATATGAGGAGCATTGGTCTTCGTCTTCCATTCATGGTCTTGATCGGGAGCCGGTCTCGTACAAAGGTAACCACAGTGGTGCACGAATTTCGTTTTATTTGGCCCCCGGTTCGCTTGTATCCACATTGAACTCCGAGATGATGAAGCGGCCCTCAATGGCTTTTTGGGACCTCGAACATTTTTACTCTTCGTTGTAGTTGTTGTTGATGTCGATCCAGAGGGCTACAAAACATAAACATTATTTTTAATGTCATGAGCACACATAAGACATATGATAATTATATAGCTAATAATAAAAAATATATACTTGGCCAATATGTTGTTGCTCATTTTGTTCAAGAGCTAAGGCATCGACTCCGTCATCCGCATCCTCTTGCACGTTATTTTTAGCACCATCATCGCCGCAACTTGAGTGCCGGTGTTGATCAAATTCATCATCAACTCCTCCTCATCCATGTTTCTCGGTCGGCCATCTAGCTTCAAAAAACAAAACCAATATATAGTACGTCAAATCTTTGCTTACATGCGTAAAATCTACGAACAATATGCATTATTAAATCTTGCCCCTCGGTCACGAACGCAATTCACCACACTAGAGAATGACTGCGTCGGTGACTAGGGCGAACCCACGTCGGTGACATCAACAACGCGGTTCGCCCTAGTCACCGACGCAATCGCCCCGTGTGATTGTTTAGCGTTAACGATAACGATAATACGAATGTTGATCGACTAGGCGCGAGAGAGGCGGTGTGACAAGAGTGGTGGTGCTCCACTCCGCCAGATATATGTTTGTACACATGGGTGAACGAGGGCGGCGGTGCTCCGCCGTATACATAGAAACGCATGGGCGAACGAGGGCGGCGGTGCTCAGCGACGTATATATACATGCATATGAATGCAAATGACGTATATAACCGTGTTGGAGCGGTGGCCGGTGTGCTGACGA